GCGGCGTGGGAAGTGCAGTATTGAATGCGACACAGTGCAGCAGAGTCTGACCGCTTCACTGGCTTGCGAGTTTCACGCAACGCCACTTAGAATGCATTGCGGTGCGTGCTGTCGGCGTGCTCGTTGAATACACAAACCCGCAAACGTGCCCCTGGCTACGTGCCTTTCGGCCGCGGGAAGTGCAGCATGTGCGCAACTCTCGTTATCTGTCGTGTTTTCAATGCGCGCTAGAATACCGCTGCACCAACCACACTCGAGTCAAAACGCTTCGTTTATTGTTCGTGGTGGAAACAAGGGCGACTCTTCCAGGTTTCAGCCACTCGAGTTTAATATCACTCCTGTGCTCGACTCTTGGTTCACATTACTTAATGACCCCGATTGCGGCATCGCTCGCAACCCCTCGACGAGGGCAGTGCTTACCCACGGCTTCTGGCGCACGGAGCGACACATTTACCGGGCCGATTATGCGAGATGCAAAATAAGGCGATAAATGATGTGTCATTTAATTACAGATGACAAAAATGACTAAAGCAAAAGAAATTGCTAAAGCTATCCAATGCCTTATGTTTAGGTAAAAACTATTTGTCAAGTTAAAAAACATAAGTTGTTCACCTTTTGTTCTGTGGGCATTGCTAGCCACGAGAAACTTATGGAGAAAAATTGCTTATCTTATTACTGTTACGGTGGCATTCGGCGTACGGTTCTTTACTTAACAATGATACAAATAATGGAAGGTGACAATGTTTTCACGTTAGTAAGGCAGTATTTAGCTATTCTTCTTGCGGTGAATGTTCGACTTGCCGATTAGGTTTTGTCCGTAAAAGTTCAGCGGATGCTAGATCTGGAAGAACATGCACCTAGCGCCTAAAGGCAGCTAGGGCTATCTTAGGCTCTAAACACTTTGTTAGCAAAAAAAAACAAAAAAACTTGTATATCTCTGATTATGACAATACATAAGCATCTGCCATTGCGAGTCACTGCTGTTATCACCGATGAAACAGAGAATCTCGCAGAAGTAACCAGCCAGACGAATTACCCGAGTTCGATGCCTTCCGGTGTTTTTTGAAGGGTCAGTTGATGCATATTACGTCTAGGGAAACAGTGCTGTTTACGCGCGCTTCTTTCAGTGCTATTTTCGGCGCTGTTTAAACAGGCCTTGGAGTGTCATGCAAAGACGCGGCTACACGAAGTAAGAGAGAGTGATTCGTGCTCGTGGGAGACAGACACTTTCCGCAATCGAAGCACCTCGCAAGATCTTTACGAGGGTATGTTGTGCTCTGGAGGCTATTAACGGTGCGACCATAAACTGTCGAACCAAGCGTCGCCACACCACGGTGGTCTAGTTGCTAAGGTACTCTGCTGCTGACCCGCAGGTCGCGGGATCGAATCCCGGCTTCGGCGGCTGCATTTCCGATGGAAGTGGAAATGTTGTAGGCCCGTGTGCTCAGATTTGGGTGCACGTTAAAGAACTCTATAGGTGGCCAAAATTTTCGAAGCCCTCCACTACGGCGTCTCTCATAATGATATAGTGGTTTTGGGACGTTAAACCCCACATATCAATCAATCATCACAACGATACACCTAGTTAGACGAATGAAGTGTGTTGCAAATGTGTATATGGACTCTTTCATGCCAGACACATCATTCACAGTTACGATGCCGTGCTCATGTCTCGACTATTTACGCCAGGCTCATTATTTAGACTCGAGTGGCGCCAGTAGTTTACAATGCGATACATTATCGATGGTTTCAAAGTCTCTGTCTACCAGTGAGTGACGCCACACACACACACACACACACACACACACACACACACACACACACACACACACACACACACACACACACACACACACACACGCGCGCGCGCGCGCGCGCACGCACGCACGCACATACACACACGTACCACTTTCTCCTTTCTTGCCTAATCTCTTTCCTTGGGAAACTTCTAAGATTAGAGCGAATTAAGCATCGAAGCACAGCGCCGATAATTCTCACCGGAATGGTGGCCATGACGCTGTATGGTGCCTGGAGTACGGGGGCCGCAGTCACATGGCTTTCGCTGAAGATCAGCTCCCTGCAACGTCACAGACACCGCTTTTTCACTCGCTTACTGACTATAACCGTTCTCCGTTAGTGGTTTCTCTCTATATATACATTTCGTTCTATTTCTCGCTCCTTCCATACCTTTCTTTCTCTTTCCTTTTATCTATTTCTATCTCTTTATATCAGTCAATCAATCGACCAAGCATCGAGCTAAACAACCAGGTGCGCGAACCGTCAGCCTCTCGCTTATAAAAGATGACAGTGCTTCCTTGCTATGAGCCGCCATCGAAAATGCTGATGTGCTGTTAAGCAGAGGCATAGAGCCGCAGCCACTCATTTCACAACGAATCACGCGTACGACTCTTTTCCTCAAAGCACGGCTGAGAACGCACCAATACATTGGCACGTGAACGCAGTCATGTGGGTTCTTCTTAACACGAAAGCTGTTATGAGATCCCAACAGCGGTCGCGTGCGCCGTAGTTGTCCGCCGCCGCCTCCGATGGTGTTCGTAGCCAGTATCACACAAAATAGGAAAATAATAAGCAAAGAAAGAGCACCAAAGGCACAGTGGGATTAGAAACCGGGTCCTTTGCGTGTCAGCCCAGTATTCTACCACTGAGTCACGCTGGTGCTTGAAACCCCGTTCTACACTAGCCTCAGACAGGCTTGGTGTCGGGAAAGGAATCGCGTTGGTATGAGTAAAAAATGTTTGATATGAGCAATATGAGTAAAAGCAAATGTACAGCCAAGCATGTGCATTGCGTAATGAGCGGGCCATCGAATGCTCCAAACCCATTACAAACTCTTCAGGCATAATTCTTCTTCGTCCTCTGCAGCCACAGCATATAAAAACGCTTAAAATTTCTTGCAAGTGTGTAGCGGGTACCACGCTTCTCCGATAAATGACGAAGGATGACAAAGTCAATGCCTTCAAGCTACACAAACATTATGGTGAATAATGGCATAGCGGGTACTTTGGAAATAGTAGTTACCAAAAGGGTGTTTAAAAAGGCTCTGAAAGGCGGCTCTTCCGGCTTTCGCTGTGAGTGTGTTGCGCGTCGCGAGAAGGCCTGGCAATTTTTATATCTTGCTGACTTTCCATAAACACCAGGAAAAAATAACTGCGCAGCATGTACATCACATTGTCATAAATTAACGGATCAATCATTTTTGAATATCTTCTACAACGTAATGAAACAGGCTATGCTGCAAAATTGATATCATAGGTTTTGTATTATTGATCATTAGTTCAATAACTAATCAAGCAATATATCAAAAATACGACAACAAGCACCACATTACGAGTATGCAAACAAATACGTGTCACATTCAAATGTTTCGTTCTCGGCCTTTTGATATTCCTGCCCATATTGTATGCTAAAAAGTTTAGCAGGGCACGAACATGTGCAAACATATTTGAAATCGATACCCTCACAGCAAAATAGTTGGGCTAAGGAACTAAATGCACATTCCTGCACATTTCAAAATGCAACGGAAACCTTAGAAATGAATAGATCTAGATTAGTATGGTAATAAGCTGCTGGTGACCTGTATGCATGCGTGCCGATATTTAACATGCATGCCATTATTTATCGCGGTGTCACTTTTAAATGCCAATTCTGCAAAGGGTGTCACCACACTTCCCATCGTCTGCGTGATAGAGTTCCTTCAATGTAAAAAAACAAACTCACGTATTCATTAGGGAAGTAGCGAAACGATGCGTTTTATTTGACGTTATCAGGTCGCTGACCAAGTCAGACTCGAGGCGAGGGGCCACTTAAGCAGTCCAGTAATAGCGAGAGGCATTATTGATGATTGCGATGGTGGAGCTGTTCATAATTTCTTTTATTTCTTTCTTTTGGGTACGACCACCCAGCCCTGACCGTTTACGCAATGAGGACCAGCTACCCGTGTTCCGGCACGCACCACGCTCATGACAGCACTTTCATACGACCGTGGCAGATCTTGACGCGAGATGACGGATGTCATTCCTGTTTAGACAATGTGGGCGTGGTCACTGGACACTGCCGCAGGGTCCAGTCTCAAAGCGCCGCCAGGCAGCACCGCTCGCCCAAACTCGCGAGAACTATCGTCAGCACTGTCGTCACGAACCAAGAGTGACTCACCTGTTGGCTACCCACACGTGACAGTGCATTCGCGTTGATTGAACAAAGCTGCTATGTCAAACTATAGAGGATGGCCGGACGCTCCGTGGGGCCAAACGCGACAAATGACAGTGTCTCAGTTGTTCGACAGGTGGTGCCGGCTATCGCGCGATCAATTCACGATCATTCGAGAATCCGTGCATTGGCGCCGCAGCCATTACAACGCTGTCCGAAGCACTGCGGTAACCCGGAAGTATGAAGCATTGCGTGACCCTTCTTGTTCTTGCTCGATGCTATGTCGCTTCGAATTTTATTTGTTTGTTGCAATGGGCGCCTCGGCAGTGGGCTACGTCAGGTGTAATAACAGCGTCCAAGTTCACGAGGGCTCTTGCCACTCCGGCCCGAAGCGTGGCAAGAGAAGTCGCACCCGAAGGAGGCGAGGCGGCTCTCGCTCCGCGGCGCGCTTTTCTTGTTTTTGCTTTGAAGCGTGCAAGAGCGATGGCTTGAAGAATCTCTTTCCTGGACTGCGCCAAGTAGAACACACGCGTGCCTTTTGCATTTCTCCCCTCCCGGCTGCAGTATACCTTGCATTTCAGTTCCGCTCTTGTTTTTTTGCTTCTTGTGGCCGCCGGCTACTGCTGCGTTTGCAATGCATCTTCCACTCACTTTCTTTAATGGTTGGGGCGTAAATTGGCCATCTCATTGTGTAGTCGCGTCCCTCTCCCTTCGGTTCGCAGCTGTGCAAGAGTCACCGTTTTGCAATTCTCCTGGCACGATGACCTCCTCTTCCGGCGCCATGCCTCCCTATATAAGAGAATATCGTGGAGCAGAGAAGTCAGAGCTTGCAGTCCCCGCAGAGGAGAGATCTCCAGGATGAGGCTTATGGTAAGCTTGTCTAGGATGAGCCACAGTCTGGCGCTTAGCGCATGCAGTAGGGAAATTTACCTCGCACGTTTGAGCGCAAGAATACGCCTGTATGGACCAGCAAAAATTGCTATACAGCTGTGCAGTAAGATTGGTTGTGAGTTATTTCTTGCTATAAACCCTGGCTTTCTTGGATGCACTGCGTCTTCAGAGCAAATTGTTGAGATTTTTCATACGCAGTGTTGCTTGCCCTAACTTTTAACAGGATTTATATTAAGAAGATGTAAGAGGATATGTAAGAGGATTTATATTACAATACTCTTCAGCTCATCATTTCAGTGGAATCATGTGATAGAATGTAATCCAAAGGCGAAGAACGAGGGTAGTTCACTCTGAACCTCAGTGAACCACCTTCCAGCCTTTATTTATGCTTTCCAGACGTGAAGCCTTCGTGCAGAAGTATATTTGCGAGGGGAAGCTTTTCAGTGCACGCACAATGCAATATTGTGAATTGTAAGAAGAACATACAAATGAAGGATCAGGGCCCACCTTCACAAAAAGTAATGACGAGATAATTTTTCGTGAAAGCGAACATCAGCCAATCATCATTCTAGATCTGAAATAGTGAAGGCGGCCATTTACGAACGATGGAATTCGGTTCCAGAATACCAATATGCCGTCTTGTAAAAAAAGTGTATTGCTAACACATTATACTGTGGTGAAATTGTTCTGCATATGCCTTTGCATAGCCTTGTGACTCAAAGGCACTGATTACGCCTCGCGAGCTCTATTTTGTGATAATTATGTGCCTTCATACGCAGAAAAATGATTAATGTGCATAACGAAGTAAAGTTTGAAGAGGCCATTTTCACTAAACAAGTCCAACATCCTCTTTGTGGACGAAAATAATGCGTTCATTTGCTTTCGGTACCGCCCTGCCCATCGGTACAGCTAAGTGCTGTGTTCTGTGGCTGCCTGGTGGCAACCGCAACCGCCGGTTCCCTCGGCGGATTTGGCGGGGGTGGTTTCGGTGGCGGCGGCTATGGCGGTGGTGGCTACGGCGGCGGTGGCTACGGCGGTGGCGGCTACGGCGGTGGCGGCTACGGCGGTGGCGGCTACGGTGGTGGCGGCTTTGGAGGCGGTGGAGGCGTCGGCAAGATTATCATCATCAAGACTTCTGGAGGCGGAGGTTACGGCGGTGGTGGATTTGGAGGTGGAGGCTTCGGCGGTGGAGGCTTCGGCGGAGGCGGAAAGTATGGTGGTGGTGGATTCGGAGGATTCGGCGGTGGTGGTTACGGCGGAGGTGGCTATGGTGGCGGAGGATGGTGGTGATCCTCTGGCCTGCACTTCAGTTTGGTACGTATAGGCCTATACATAAAATAATCGAATTTTTACATCGCCATGTGAAATTTCATTTGGCTTTATAACGTCATTGTTTGAAATGGAAGCGGAACCGAACAGGCAGCAGTTCATGGGCTTCATGTACTCTGGTCCTCTTTAAAAAAGGGTGTTATTCAGCTTAGTCAAGAGACCAGGTGATTGTTGCAGAGTTTTTTTCATTTTTGAAATAATACTATGTGGCTTTGCGAATGAACGTTTCCAGGGAACTGAGTGATAGACAAACGAACTAGAAGAAACATTATTTTACAATGTCTTTATATATTGAGAGCACGAAGTTACTGAGAGCGTTTGGTATCGGACAACATAGTTGCATAGGATTTGTATAACATCTGGATTTGGGGTACGCTTTCCCGCTACATCTATTCTAAAAGGCAAACGACACCACTGAAAACAGGTAATGCATAAAACGCCGGACATAACATTTAAAATGCAATAATTCGTCGTTCACGTGGAATCTTCATCTCTTGCCCAGTGTTCTGCAGAAGCCGCCTTGAAGAGGTCCGCGCTGGTCCCAAGGAAGTTTGTATTGTGCCTGGCGTACTCGTGTCAGCCGTCTGAAGGAACTTTTCGCGAGTTGTCACCGATTGCCCTGGAGTACACCCATGAAATACCACTCGGGTCGAACCAAGAAAAGCGCTCGCTTGCATGCGCCATCACTGCGAGCTGCTCCCTTTGTGAATAAAGAGACGTTCTATCCCCACTGAAACCTGGTCTCTTAAGTCGCTTATCTCGTAAAGAACGTGCTTGTCAAATACTTGGGTTTCAGTTGGCTAACTTAAAGGTTAGCACTGAAATGCGACTACATACTCACAATAACAACAACGTTGAAAGGATGAATCATTCGCTGCAAATTATTATGTCAAGGGCGAACAGTTACGGCTACGGACAGTTTATTTGCAGGAGTCCACTTTGCAATAGAACGTTCACAGGCACGCATTCCTGTCCAAAATATACCCTCAGTATACAGAGTAGCACTTCGTATATATCTTCACACGGCTGCTCATCATGAGCGCTTATGCAGTGCAGCACTCACTAACTCACTTAGGAGGATGTTTACTTTCGGGGTAGTTGCTTTGGGTTAAGAGTAGAAATCGTTGGTCAAGTTGATGGTACATTATACTGACAACTGCGCAACAAAGGAACTGCAGTTTAATCTGAAATAGCTGCAGTTTATTTCCAAAAGCTAACAGAATATAAAGAAACCCACATGTCAACAAAAAAAATATTGCAAGCGTTATCTTCTGAGTGCAAATCTTTATTCCAAAGGTACCCAGTGGTGGGGCGGTGTGGTTTTAAATTAACGTGTATGGCAATTTAGGCAGCAGGAAATGCGATACTTGGCAATAACTGCACGAGCATCCCGTCCATTGCCTTGACGAAGAAGTTCACCGTATGTCCCGCGCGCATGACCGCCGAAAGTGATGTAGGCTGATATCACTTTTTTTTTGCAAATAGTGCTTTGCAATCCTTTTTCTTTTTGTCCACATGTCGGTTTCTTTATATTCTGTTCCGTTTAGGAATAAATTGCAGTTCTATGTTTACTGCTCGTTTGTGTTTCTTCCCAGTCTCTTGTCCCTTGTTTCGCTTTTGTCGGTATGACAGCTTTGAGAAGCCGGTGTGATATAAACCTTAGCCGCCCTATAGCAAGCAAGTTAGAACAGAACAGAACAGAACAAAACAGAACGGAACCGAACAGAACAGCTTCTGCAACAAGTGCCACGTAAATGGGCGCAGCAGTGACAGTTACGCAAGGACTAACGAATGCGCTGAACAGCATATGTGCTCACCAGTATAGATATTGTCACCTGAACGCACACGAGGCTCTTTCAATTTGCTGTCTTGGGGCAATTTTATGGCGCTTGATTATTTATAGAACATGACAGAACCAAACTTAGCGAGGGACAGAAATGTGACAACCAGATACGGATATATAAAATACAAGCACATTGTGGTCCTTTATTCAGTATTGCCACACAAAACATACCCGAACTTTATTCGCTCGTGCATCACGAAACCAGATCGTTAACATACCGGCAGACAGGCATATATTATCGACGGAGCCAGTCATCCCATTTTCCTTTTTAAGAGCGTGAAATCAGGGCACATGTTCTGACTCAGTAGGGTGGGTTGTTCGGAATAATGAGACAGAAAAAAAAAAGAACACGCAGGTTCAAAGCCCTACTTTATTATACACCAGTGTACGGAAACTAACTTGCCGTATGCCGCAGCCCAACGGTAAATATAGTGCGCTTTCAACGTAGACCTCATCCGTGTCACTATCACCGCATGTATAAGGTGCCTGGAATATGTGGTGGCAGGTCCCGTGAGGGCGCCTGTAAAGAGCGGTAGCGCGAGCATATATTGGGGCCAACAGCAGCAGCTGTGTCAGCGTACATATATATATAGAGAGTCAGGACGCGGTTTTGTACTGTTGTGAATGCCCTGCATTTTCTGACCAGGTTCTGACCAGGTTCATGACGAGGTTCTCAGCGTCGGCTACAATGGCTCTGTGTTGAAACCCCAGTGGGGAGTAGCAAACCGGGTACTATTATCCGGTTTACCTCCCAGCCTTCCTTTTCTCGTCTCTCGCTCTCTGCGTAAGCTTGCTATACCGCGAAATGTTGCTATGGCTGCATCTATTTTGTAGGAATGCGTTATCTGCAAAAGCAGTGAACACTGCCTCAGTTGCTTCATTTACTGGACACAAGAAATATTAGTTTTCCTGATATAAGTGTCTTATATAGCTTAATATGTTGCATAACAAAAGTATGCGTTCTGATCGTAGCAAGAACGTAGCAATGACTACCGATTTGAGTACTAATATTATTTATTGTTTCAGTTATGCCAGGCTATTCAATGTATTACTAGTTATTGCATATTTGTATTGTTTGTATTCACTCCTGCGTGGACGCGAGAGAGCCTTAGAGTATCTGCAAGTAGGCAAAAAAATGTTACAGACACAAATTTTTCTCTCGGCGGGAGCGAAGCCACAAAGAGATCTCTGGACCCAGCTGCTGCATCGAAAAAAGTCAGTTATAGGCTCGGTTTAGGTTTTTTCCTTGAAATGGCTTTAGTTACAAACAGGCGTACTCCCATGCCGTTAAGCTGTGGAGGCAAGCAGAGTTTAAGAAATGTGCATGATGTTCGTGCAAGTAAATTAAAATTCTAGCAGCTTCAGAGTGGCATTTTGGTGTTAAAACTTCTATTTAAGCCAGGAGGTTAACTACTGATACGTTGAAAGTACAGCCACTGGCAAGCGTTAATCGCCTTAGAACCTTAAAGTATCAAAATATGAGAGTAGGGTGTTACGCTGACAGTAATACGATGATGTCTTGCAGGCCATCATGCCGTTCTACACCTTCCTATTTAAGGACATATTTTTACGCGCTGAGCAGAGAGTGAGTCAGCAGAAACTTTCTGGAAGATGTCCGGTGGCATTGAGTAGAGTGGAGCTACAAGCACAACGGGATGGGGTTATGGCCTCGAGCCCTTGTACGGATATTAACATTTATTGTGGGAGAAGCTGAGGGACCGGTCTCTGCTGAAAACTTCTAACGTGCTATACGCAGCATTGACCAAGGGAAATTGGTCCAAGGAGAGCGAAAGAGAGAAGACGTGGATTATGAGAATCAAAATGGCAAAACTTCAATGGTCAAATACGCTTCAAGGTATTCGATTCAGTCCAGCCTCATACGAAATTCTGTTGGGAGCATTGAAAGCGTCCTGCTCATGACAGAAATCCTACAAAAAACCGACTGGATTGTCCTTAGGTAATGGTTGATGGACAAATTTTGATAATTTTTTTATTCATTATTGCTTTTGCTCCAAATAGTGTGGTTATAGGCGAAGTCATGTTCGACGGTCTCAAGAAAATATCGGATACCTCGCAGTCAAAAAATTCTGCTCTGATGTTATAAGTGGGAGATAGCTCCGAGTGAACACTAAACCTGTACTCGTAACCAGCTTAGCAAGCTTCCATTTCACGTACTCGTAATGAGTGGTATCTTTCCTCAGTCGAGTTTGTCAAAGTAGCTTTGAGGATAACTGCTACAGTAATAAAAAATCTGCTACAGTAAAATAAAAGTTCTCTTTTTTTAACAATATATTTAATACCGTTTTCTCTCGCCTCACAGAGCGGCGCTTCAAATCCAACTCCTATAACATCCTTTGTTGACGTCACGCGCGATGTTTTCTAGACCCCTTTTCATCGAAAGCTTCGCGACTGTGTAAATTGACATCAATTCACATGCTAGATTATGCACCCTTTTTCCCTTTTCATGGTGATTACTTGATAATGTAACCGGCTGCGGCGTTTGCCGAAAGAACGTGTGATGTTTTTGAAATCGTTATGCTCTCCTGAATAATGAATATGCTTTGATATGCTTCGCCTTTGTAGAGAAGTATAACGTAGTGAAGCATATTGTTGACACAAATGAGAACCTGGCACGTTGGGTGGAAGTCAACAACAGTTATGAAAATGTCATGCCTAAACGATCTCGCCATGGAAACTGCCTATTTTCAAATTATAATTCTCACATTATTCTTGTTTCTGCTTTTTCAAAATTAAATTCTTCAACAGTTCATCTGTGAAATAACGAGTCACTCGCATGCACCATTTTCTGGGAACTAGAATTGCGAAACAAAAAAGAGACAAAAATGAGAAAAAAAGTAGCCCAGCTGAGCCGATGAAATTAAAAGTAGCCAAAAGTACCACGCGTATGTGAAGATATATTTATATCCCTGTCTACAGAAACTTTTTGGGAAAACCAAATTATGTAAAGCCTGAATCCTTCAAAATAAAAAAAAATGCTGGGACTGCGGCATAAAGTTCTGGCATGATTTAGCTCAAGATAGCGGAGTTTACTGCGTTGTAGCAACCTCCACTCTCTAAGGAAAGACGATGATAATATGGTCTGTGTGTCATTGTATATAGCCTGCGTGACACTGACTTTAAACGCCGCCATCATCAACAACACCACTTGTTATCACTGGTTCAGAATCTGTGCATTGAAAAATGTGGGCATATGTTGCCAAATCATGCGCCTGCATTCTACAATGCACACATTTTTATACATATACTATCGGGCAAGGCGCCTGTGCCGTACCGGAGAAATTGAGTTCTTCCTGTGCCTCGTTGTACTGTTTACACGAATGAAAAGGAATTTTTGAGTCTCCGTTTCTTTCTTTTACCTGAATGAGAACCTGAATGAAAAGAAGGAGATAATGAAGCCAATGAAGGTATAGGATACATCAACTGTACTATTTGTTGTGATGTAGTGATTGTGATAAGAAGTGAAGCAAGTTAAGTGGACGAAAAGATGACTTGACACCGGCAGGAACTGAACCGGCAACCTTTTGATTTCACCTACTTCTCAACTCTGGTGTCACATAACAGTCACTTATCGTGTTCATCGTGGACCAAATTAACATTTTCTTGTTTGTATCACTGAGGAACCCCATTTGCTAATAACATGTAAGGCATCAAGTTCTACTCACATTTGATCTAACGTAAGCAATTCGATTCGAACACAAACAGAGCTTACAGAATATTAATTGCCCCTTTTTCGTTTGCAGGTTTGCTTACATACGTATCAGTGGGAAATAACTTCAGAATGAACGTATCACTGTGTAGTTATTCGATGTTTCACACTATTTTGCTTCATTGTTTTCACCTGAAAAACGATTACTAAAATGTCCTAGTACGTC